CGGCTTATTATTTTTTGCAGACTGTAAGAGCAATTTTATAAAAGTAAGCTTGAACTTTCGATTATGTCAAATAGAATTTTCGATGCTGGAGCTCTCAAAGGATCTACGAAAACAAAAGCATGTTTCGATGTCCATCAAACAAAAAGTGGAGTTGCTCCAAAAAATGGATAAAGGCATATTCTTTGTTTATCTAACCGTTCCGAAATCTGTTTATCAATTTCACGCTGCTTTGTGCGGGGGGGGGGGGGGACGTCGCAGTGCGGAATGAACTGAAAGTTGATCTGTCAACACTATCGTTATCTTCAGAGCAGATGTTTTTATTTTATTTGGTTTATAATTCCTTATTAAATGTAGTATTTCATCTCGATGTACTTCGTCTTTGATATGATTTAAATCAAATTCCTCATCCTTATAAATATCATGAATACACATCAAATAGTTTTCTGGTTGCAATTTTCTAATTTCGGCTATGCATAATGTATGCTTTACGCATGCGCGCGTTGAAAGAAATGTTTAATAAAGTAAACAAATAAATATTAAGCTTTTTTTTTTGTAAATTTTGATACCCTTTAGATCATAATTGCTCATTATTTTATAAATTATGGTTTCATATTTTTAATTTTATAATTTCTGCATGCCATCTTACCAGATTTAAACTGATGATAATCCGGAAAAATCGATAATCCGGAATCACCGAAGTCCCGACGAGTCCGGATTAAAAACTTTTGACTGTATAGACGAAATTACAGCAAATCAAAACTAAACTAGACATTCAAGCTTGACATTAACAGATAGAAAATAATAGTTTGATACACAGTATATCAAGTTCATATACCTGCTGGAATTTTGATGAAAAATGAAATAAATATGTATACACTAAACCAATACAGTGATTATTACTGTTGCTTACAGCGTTAATAATTTCAATCTCAGTTCCTAGCCAAAAAATAAAAAATTAAATTGCAGAAATACCATTAAATCTTCCATCTAATTGAAAACATCTATCAAACAACACTAAAAATTAGTAATGAATAAAACAATAACAAAAAATAATGTTTTACGCAAATATTATTAGTAATATTGTCGAAGTATCTTCTTTTCTATAGAATAATAAAATTAATATTTAAAAATAATTTTTCGCATCTTCTGTTTTTCAAAGCCAGGCAGTCTCTTGTTAGAGTAAGCATCTAATTACGAGCTCAGGAAATATACTAAAAATGCAAATTTGATAATGCATGTTTTCTGTCTTTTAAAAATAACCACGGGTTTTAATTTTATACCATCTGTTAAGCAGGAAAACACTATGCTGAGATCAAATGTTTCATGACCTAATGTTTTAATGTGAATCGTTTTTGTTCCTTTCACATCAATTGTGTCAATTGTTTTATTTCCCATCCTATCACATTCCATCCATATTTCTAATACGTGGCAGTAAATATGTATATTTTTTTTTCTTCATGGGTCAATAACACACTTCTGAAAAATTATCAATTTGTTGTCAAAATCATTCGGAAGCCTTTGTGAAACTTTTGTTTTTTTACTTTCTTGTACGAAGTAAAAAAGGAAGTATTGTAAACGCGAAAAATTCCCGGTATCATATTTCAACGAAAATATCCATTTTGACGGCTATCGAATGCAATTTAATGATGTTTTTACATGACATCTGTATGTTAGGACAGAATAAAGGACTCTTTTCTCAAAAAAATTATAAAACTATTTAAAATGAATTCTGAAGAGAATTGTTCGTGGTGCCTGTGCATACATACGTACGTTTCTCACATAACTAAAAAATGAGCAGCCTCAGAACGTTAAAATTTTGTATATAGGACTGCTTTAACATTTAGAATGTGCACCTCATATTTTAGCTGAAATTAGCTGCACCAAAAGTATATAAATATATATCCACTCTTTTACTTGGCTCTGTGATCTCAGTTTCTTTATTCTTATATGTTTGTAAATTATACATTTTTTGCTTTAAAAATGATTGAATTATGTTGTTCTTATCTTTCTGTTAAGGTTTTTAACGCCTTTAGGAAATCTGCGTGCAGTATTTGTAGAATTATCAACAATTTAAAAAGTGTTTAAGTGTGGTTAAGCGTAATTATTTTTACATGGCGGCCATATTTGTTTACATTTGAAACTTAGCAGAATAGTGGATTTGATGCCATTCTAGGGAAACTAAGCTTCGGAACAACAGAGATAGCACCTTTTTTTATTACTGCAAATTAAATCATGTTTAATCCCTTCTGGAATTTATTTGAGGAAATAAGTGTTTAAGATTCACTTCCTTATTTTTAATGTAGATATTTTGAGTTTTGATGTATTTTGCCCTGTCCCAAAGAGAGAATTGAATTAATTGAATGAGAAATACTGAATCATCTGTGAAAAACTGTTTCTTTTTTTTGTTTTTGTTTGTTTGTTTAATTTCTTTTACACATCATTTTAGATTTTAGATTTATTATAGTATTTCAATAGAACATGTGGCGCAATGATTAGATAATTCTTCAGATGATATAATTTTGTTTTGCATTCTGAGTTATAAAATGAATCAAATGTAACACTGTTAAGTGAACTTAGCAGAGTGTCGCTACGGTAAACAAATACAGTCAAAAGTCGTTAATTCGGACACCCATAATTCGGAATGATCTATAATCCGGACCTCAAAACTAAAAACTTTCTGCGCATGCGCCGCGTTGACACATGCGCATAGGCGTTTACGTGTGCGCGTAAGACCTTTTACGACTGCGCATATGAGTGTGCGCAAGTGCAGAATACGTTTTCGCGTGCGTGTTTTATGTATAATGGACGTATAAGCTAAATAATTATCTATTACATTTAATGTTGATGATTGCGTTGTTCCTTAATTTTCGAATTGGATCCGGCTTATTATTTTTTGCAGACTGTAAGAGCAATTTTATAAAAGTAAGTTTAAACTTTCGATTATATCAAATAGAATTTCCGATATATATTTGATAATATGTAAAGGATCTAAAGCGAAAGTATGTTTTGAAATCCGAAATCTGTTTATCAATTTCACGCTGTTCGGCGGGGGGAACGCCGCGGGCGGCGTGCGCGTAATGAATTGGAAGTTGATCTGTCAGCACTATCCTTATCTTCAGAGCAGATTTTTTATTTTATTTGACTTATAATTCCTTATCAAATGTAGTATTTCATCTGATTTGCTCCGTCTTTGATATGATTTAAAACAAGTTCCTCGTCATTATAATTTGCTTCCGATAGCGAAGAAAGTGACAGAGGTTATTGAAAACGAAAAAATTTCGATTGACAAATTAGTCAGTATTCTCGACACAGCAATTATAGGACTTGAACAGCGGAACTTTGTAACTGAACAAGAAATTATGTCTGTTTAATAGAATTAAAGAGAAAGTATTATCACATGAAACGAAGCAAAACTTAAACAACTTACATTGAAAGAAATGTTTAATAAAGTAAACAAATAAATATTAAGCTTTTTCTTTTTGCAAATTTTGATACCCTTAATCATAATTGTTCTTTATTTCATAAATTACGGTTTCATACTTTTTAGAATTTCTGCATGCCATCTTACCAGATTTAAACTGATGATCTATAATCCGGAAAAATCGATAATCCGGAATCGCCGAAGTCCCGACGAGTCCGGATTAACGACTTTTGACTGTATAGTGAATTTTAAAGGGCACATTTATTCTATTGTGGTTTATGCACTATCGCTGAAGTAGATTTAATTTAATCCAATAAGTTTAAATGAAATGCAAGAAAAAATGCGTATAATTTAATATTCCATACAAGGAAGTCATGTGGTGTACACATCAGATTTTTTTTCCCTCATAGAACTAAATTATTCCATGCCATTTGACTACAACAATTCAAAGTTACTTCTAAAGTTAAATTTCTCACTTTCATTCGCTTTCTTTTTTGTCCACTTTAAGATAAATAAAGTTATGTTGTTTCTTCTTATAATTAATTAGGGTCGGATTTATGTATCTATGCAAGCTATAGCTTAGCCCCCCAATTAAAATATAGTATAAATAGTATTAAAATATATTATAACAGACTTATAAAGGGCCCCATATCTCAGCTTAGGGCTTATCCAGTCTAAATCTGGCTCTGCAGTTAATCCATTCTCATGCTTTTGTAGGACCCAGTTTGCAACAATATCCAAGATAAGCCATTTCGTTACTCCTTTACACAAAGCCCATTTATTCTTTGGAATATTAATTATTGTGATTTTATTTTTCTTCCACTCACGTATGAAGCTTTCCCCCACACCAAACATTCTTGTTGCAGCACAATTTCCATTTCCTTTCATAAAACTGAATAATTTTACCTCCAAATTATGTTCCCCCTTTCTCAAAATGCACATCTGCATTGAACACAATCAACCCTCTTTGCAGCATTAACATCAAACATCTCCCCACACACATTATTCTCCTCATCACTTATCAATTGAATATACCATTGTTTGAAACCTGGGAAAAATCTTCGAATGACTCTAAAACATAACAGCATCACACATGTACGTATCTTTCACATTTCTTCGCACAGAAAATAGTGCATGTTATACGGCAAATACAAATAAAATTGAAAAAAATGTAGTTTGAAATTATAAGTCAATGAGCATTATACAAGGGAATATACAGTATGTATATTGGCATTCATTTGTATATCTTGCACTTGGATCATTTTCATATTTAACTTTGAGCAGCCCTAGACTGATATCAATTTCTGGCCATTTAATAGCTATGAAGCGTTGGCCTGCTTTTTTTCCCACCTGTTGCTTTCCTGACATGTTTTGATGTTTCAAACTGAAGGCATGCAAAACACCTTCATGGTATTATAGCTCAGACTTGATGACTTTTGTTCATTTGTGAATGCAGACTTTTCCTGCTTTATTTCTCCCACAGTTGTGAATATGCAAAGATAGGCTAGCATAAATTTTGAGAGTTTTACCTGCATTATTCATAGACATGACAAAAACCTGAAGGACACTGAAAATTACAGACCAACCTTCAGTCTTTATTAGGAAAACAATTGTTTGGAAAAATTATTTTAATCAATACTTAGACTCATATGTTCAAGAGCTGGGATTCAGGAAAGGAATCTGCATCGGTATGCAGCTACCCAGAATTCTAGTATTCACCAGTTTTGCAATTCACAAAAAGCAAAGTTTGGCTCTTGTCATCCTAAGCGTGGCCAAATTATCCGACTGCATCTGGAATGAGAGACTCATCTTCAAACTGATTCATCTAAATAGCTAAAAAAATGATAAAATATTTTTTCTACTGATAAAATATTTTTCACTCACAGGGCTTAAGCGGTGCAACATAACTCTAATGAAAAAATCAATAACACAGGATAACAGAAGGCTCCAATTTCTGTCCTATGTTTACGCGCATGCCTTTCAGACATTGGAAATGACAGAAAATGCCTTTCAGCGTGCTACACTGACAAGACAGCCCTATTTAAAAAAAAAAAAAAAAAAAAAAAAAAAAAAAATGGCAGCTTAATCATGCCATTAAGCAGCTACAAGGCAAGATGCACATGATAGAAACTTGGTGCAAAAGGAGATGGCTGACAATAATCTGGATAAGTCGATTCTGTTCCTTATCAGGAAGTTTAAGAGACCCGACCCTATCACTAGTGAGCTGCACTTATTTGGTGAGTATATTACAGTAGAGAATAAGGGGAAGTATTTAGGGGTTAATGATAAATTATACCTTCGCATTGTCCATGCATACTAAACAAAACTAAGTGTACACTTTTCATCTTCAGACCACTTCTGCGCCCTAATTCCAAGCTGGATCTTGAGCAAAAACGGCATATTTATACTGAAACTATAAGACTCATAATCATATATGCCAGTTTGGGCCTGGGCAAATGGCTCAATAAGGAACACTGAAGTTCTGCGGATACTCTAGAATAAATTTCTACAACTCATTCTTGCGGATCCTGTTTCACACAAAATTCTATTCAGCAGCAAGATCTGAAAACCAAACAGATTTCAGATTACCTCAGCAGTGCCAATCAGAACTTTTTTTAAAAATGAATCGGATAAGAATAAACACTTATTTCAGTATTATCTGTTACTATTTACTTATTTTAGAATTAATTTATCTTCAATTACCTCATCTTATAAGATAATTTTCTTCATACATATGAAGAGTATCTCACTAGTTTTGGTATGAATGTGTGATGACCAGACTGCTTCCATGTGATGAGATTATCAATGCATGAAATTTTGCAACAGCATTTGTTACCTTCATTTGCTGAATTTTATCCCCAAAGAGATTCCCTTTTCCAGCATATCTTGTAAAGCCACACCACTACATTCTCTACAGTTTTATTTGATGTTAATGAATTTGCTTTATCATGTTCATCAAAACAGGTTTTAAGTTCTTGACTAAGTCTTGAAATCAGCTCATCTCTATCACAATGAGAATATGCAGCAGCCTCAAGAGAGCTATGCCTAGTAAGAGGTACACTCAAGAGAGTAAGAGGTATACTTAAGAGAGTAATGCCTAGCAAATCCTAGGCATACCCCACCCCCAAACAAAAAAAAAAAAAAAAAAAAAAAAAAAAAAAAGAACCATGGTCCAAATTTTAGCAGAAAATTTACTATGCTTATGTGAAGTCAATATCCAATGAATAGCTGGGAAAAAAAAAAAAAAAAAAAAAAAAAAAAAAAAAAAGAAAAGAAAAGAAAAGAAAAAGAAAAAGAAGATCCAGAAAATCATGAGTGAATGCGAAAATTAGTGCATTTAAATTTCTCATCTTTCAGTTAGAGATGAATAATATTTCCAAAGCACATTTTACAATATTTAAGTTTATTTCTTTTAATCATATTCCAAGTGCACTATTTTACTCACATAAATTTTCTTATAAGCTTGAATGAATTTTGTGTTTAGTACTTACGATAACTACACATGAAATGCATGTAAATTTACTGCCATGAAGAAGATACTACCAAAAACGACTCTGTCTCTCTGCATATTAGAGGTCGGTAACATCTCTTTGACCATCACACGAAAGCCATTCAGCGAAAAGTACAACATATTTTTAAACTTATCGTGGGGCATCACTCATGGCAATGAAGCATTGAAATTTTGGACAATATTGTCCAATCAAGTTTCATAAATGCAAATGAAACTTTTGAAAAGATGAAATTGACAGATTGAAAGCATATATTATGCAAAATTCTAATCTTCACTTTTCAAAGCCACAAGTTCTCAGGTGACATAAAGCTTTTCTAGGGTAGTTACACTATTCAACTGTCATCAGATCAGTGGCTGATAGTGAGAATGATTAGGAGTAAGTTAAATTTGAATCATTTTATGGAACACGGAATTTTAATTCAGGTAATGGGCAAATGAAAGTTTTGAAGGTGGTTTAGTGGAAAGGCAGACACGGTTTTCAACACCCGAGGACAACTGAAGATTTTGTGCCCCTTCCATGTGCCAAAAATAGAAAATGTTTCATCCTAAAATTTTGTGACATCAATTTGGTGCCCCCTGGATGCTGTGCCCAAGGATAGATGTTCCACCTTGGCCCACCCTAGCTATGCCACAGGAGGCAGAAGATAAATTTATGAAAATAAACTTGAATCATATCCACCATAAAAACACTTCGGTGGAAAGCAAACTGCTATGTCTCTTTGCATACTCTGTAATATCTCCCTCTAGCACACTGCATCCCGCCATGCAAAGTTTTCGTTTTGTATAACTGAGTTCCGAACCTGCACAGGGGGATGTGGTGTGCTGGAAGGAAATACTGTAGAGACACGCAGCAGTTTTCTTTTTTTAAGTGTTATCATGCTGAATATGATTCAAAAAGTTTATTTTTATAAACTTGTCGGTACTTATGTATTCAGATTTGGCGGTTTTTAACCGCTTCCCTTACAAATTTTTTTGAAAAAAATTGCAAAAAATCATCACATTTTTTTAATTTTATTATTAAATACAACAAAACGAAACAAATCAAAATATGTAGGTTTTAAGTTGAATTTTTAATTTTTTGAAGGTGTAAAAGCATTTATTTTTAATATTAGTTTACTATCCCGAGTTACCTCGGGCAAACGAAAAAAGTTAAATATTAATCTTTGTATGATAGTTTTTTAAACAAGGGACAACACAGAGTGATACCTGATGTTCTACACTGGTATCTGGTCTCTTTTCTTACTGGCTTACCGCTGGAATCTCTTTCACGGGAGCACAAAGTACACTGTCTCGTTGGATTTGATTTTTTTTTTTTTATTTTTTTCCCCTTATTTTCATAATTACTATCTGAAAAATCATCGCTTTCGCTATCTTCCATCATCGCCATTATTTTATTTTTTTCCAACGCATGCATCCTTCTTTATACATTACTAATCCACAAGCCAACATATACTATACAATAGGGAAACACATGACCAGTCCCTCCAAAAGAACCGCGCAACCAACAAAATTTGGCAAACTGCCAATCAAAGCTAAATATTTCCTTTTATTTCCTCCAGACCGAGTAAAACCATGATAAAAGAAATCGTACTAACAAATTCTGCTTCGCCCGAGTTTTCTCGGGATAATAATTAACTGCAATATATACGAACCCGAAATAACTCGGGATAATAAACACTTTATTTAAAATTAAAACACTTTCAAAAATCAAAATACTTTATTTAAAATCAAAGTAGTCAATCGGATTTTGGTGTTAAATGGGCCGATATAGAGTTTAACATAGATTAAAAAAAGGTCTCTGTTTTCTTTGACCTGATGTTGTCACCATATGAACTCTGCTAAATAAGATTCTGAATGATGTCTCGCTGTCCCCCTATGTTTCTTGTTCCTCCATTTAGCCCTGCCTCACATTCTCTCAACTGTTTGTGTGTGAACTCCTGTATCAGGATCAATATAATTGTATTTATGATTAACTTTAGCATGTAGGAATCCTTCTTTTTCTATTCTATTTGGTAACCTTTCCAACTGGCAGAATAAATTTGTCTTAACCATCTGCAATGTTTTCAATAATTTTATTAAGAAGGGTAGAGCCAGTTCTATTAGGAACAGTTACAGCAAACGAATCGTTTGTTTCTCTACATACACTACCAAAACACCAACTGTTTGGGTAATACTCGACCACAATTATTTTTATGCTTAGTAAAGAAACTATCATCAATTTCCACAATGCAATCTGGTCCACCTACCTTCTTGTTTGGTTTATTCTCCATATCCAAGACGCATAATTCATGCATGCGATTGTTCCAATCTATAACAGTTTTATCCGATAAATCAAGTTGCTTTTCAAAAAATTTAATCGGCGTCAACTCTTCACACCAGCAGTATATGACTCTCAAAGCTGAACAAAATGGAATTTTGCTCCCTTCAAACCAATTGTCTTTTCTAAGTTGCACTTGCTGATCACACTGTCTTAAATTACATTTCCAAAACATATGTTTACCAAAATAAAGTTTCATATCATGCGAATTGGTACATTTTTGTTTTTTTGGTAAAATATTTCGCTCCTGAAAAAATAAAAATAGCATCTTCTTTTGTGTTTGGCAAATCCCAAAGACGCATTTTCGTAGGACTAAAAAATGGCATAAAAAATCAGCAAACAACAAGGCAAAAAGGAATCCAAAAGATAACTGCATGCGAACAACAAGATTATTCAACAAGATTGATTATTCAACAAGAACAACAAGGTTGGCGCATCAGCGCATTTTCTGTTGCAGTGGCATTAATACGCAAGTACCAATTTGTCTTCTGCCTCACCACTACACTTCCACAGTGGTGACCCGAAAAACTACACACAGTTAAACCCACTGACAAATGACGAACTATATCACATATACCAAGATGTTTCTTCACACATGCTTCACCTCAAACTTAATGGTAACACACTCGCCAATAAACCAGGACAGCTATTCTACAATGATTGGATCTCATATACTATGGCACGTACAATATTAACTAAAAAAAAAAAACGGTATCATCTACACTCTCCAACTTAATGGAAAACCATACTGTGGTCATCGGTTGATATGCGATCGGGTCCATTTGACTTCACTGACAGAGGACAAGTCTTTCAGGCAGCTTTAGATCAATCACAGTGCAGACAACTGACATGCTTCATAGCGAGCAGCTAAAGTTCTAGCAATATTTATTTGAATGCATTTACCCATCATTTCGCTGTGGACAGGTCAGTGGCTTAGCTAGAGATTTTGCCTCTCTGTGCAGTCCCTGGATTTACACACTTTTCTTGATATACAAACAAATAATTAAAAAAATTATATGTAGGGAAATAAATAAGGGGAAATAATAAATTTATGTGACTTCTTCATTTAAATATGAAAAAATTAGTGGTGTAGCATAATGTTTATGTATATGTTGTAAAATATGAGGACCAACTTACTAATAACAAAAAAAGGTGAAAATATGGAAAAGTATCAAATATAATTCAACGAAGTAAATAAATACCTCTTGAACAACTTTATCCAGAACTTCATCTTCAGCTGAATATAATCTTTGTATACCTCTACGCCTTACGCGTGGAGAAGACATGTTTACCCCAAACTACATTAAAGAACTGAAAAAAGAAAATTGAATATGCTAATATGTAAAAAGAAAATATATAAAGCATATATGCAACTCCGGATAAAAAATTCCATATCTTAAAACAGCAGTTTCTAGCCTGTGATATGCATTACCTCTGGGCTAGTCTGGAGTACACACAAAGAAAATAATAACAATAATAAAGAAGGAAAAAAAAAAAAAAAAAAAAAAAAAAAAAAAGAGGTTGAGGGGGAAAAAATGGTTGGGAGCCACTGTCTTTAAATTAATAGAAATTTCTTAGCAATAAGTTAGAGAATCAACAGATCAACTAATAAATTACATTTTATATTTAGTTAAGCAAAATAAATTTTAAACGAATAAAAAAAATTCACCTTAATAATTTAATTTAATTTAATTTGCTTAAAAAATCAGAGGTTTCAAAACAAAGCATTCTCAGACTACCATTATTTTGAAACTTTGATTATTAATGAAAAAGTTTCTGTGGAAAGACCATATAAGTGCATAATTATAAGTTGCATCACAAAATCATAAGATTTATATTTAAGATTACCATCATTTATATTTAAAATTTTGAAAAAAATCAATCTTAAACTGGTACTTTATTCAGTGTGTGGATATTATTATCCACACATTAAAAAAATATTCTGCCAGAGTTAAAAAAAATAAATAAATAAATACTAGAATTTTTTTCATTTCAAACAGCATTTCTATTAATTTAATTTAAGGTTCACTTCTGTCTAAATTTAACATCACATGCTTCTCTTTCTAATACATCTAATGACAAATACACAGGGTATTTGAAAACGGTGGTTACATGCTTTATTTATGTAAATATTCATACTACATATATACTTCTAGTTATGAAGCTTCTTAAAATAAAACTCAGAATGTCATAAAAATACTATGGCTAATGAAGGATCTTGAAAAAATTTACTTATCATATGATCTCCAACAAATAAAAATTTCAGCTGGAAAAAAAAGTCATTATGCTTTAATTAGTTAAAAACACAAAGTTTCATTATTTTACATGCAGAACTCGCAGAGATAATTGAAAATACTTAGGTCATATTTACAATTCCAGATTAAGCCTCTAGTAGACCCTAGAGAAAATTTAAATAAGAGCCCCATTAAATTTGCTTCTAATGAAATGTTATTTAATATAACTTGAAAGTTTGTATTAATATTAGATAATACAAACACAAATAAAACAATTTGAAGTGAAAGTTTCTGATGTAACAAATATATAAAAATATAGATAATTATAGTCCAGAATCAGCCTTTAAAATATAACCTAACTATCAGTAAAAGAATTTACTCATTTAGGTCATATTTGCAATGTCAGATTAAGTCCCTAGTTTTTTAACTGCTGGTACCACGAGCTCAGATAGATGCACAACCAGACCTCAACATCAACTTAGAACCTCCATATTAGGCAAGAGCTGAGTTAGTCAGGCATACCTTGCATCAATGAGAGTATATAAAATTCACTTTGCTGCCACTCATCCCGCACTTACAGATCTCTCAAATCCATAGCTGAACTGTTTGACTGGGGTCACCATTCCCGGCGACCAGAGACCATCATGGGCATATAATAGCTCTATAATCCTGAAGATCTGACAGGTTGTCAAAATATTTCTGCCAGTACTATGCAAGCAGTCCTGCATTGAGGAGACTATATGGAATTTAGTGGACAACAAACTAACCACTGCACTGCTACTGACACTTAAAGAGAAGTGAATGGAATTTGGCCCTAGACAAAATTTAAATAAAATTATTAAACTTAATTTGCTTCTAATGAATACCTTTGGAGTCTAACTATTTGAGAATATTTCTCTCTACAGCAAGCACAGCTAAAATCTTTAATGATCAGTGGAAATTCTTAAATAATTTTTAATTTGCTTTGAAACAGAGATATATCTCTCCTGGCATATTACTTTCAGGCACAATCAAGCTAATTCTTAACAATATTTCAGTATCAGGAAAAGAAGATGCAATTTTTTTGTTCAACTGGTACATTATAATTTATATTTCATTACTTGAAATTAAACTTCATTGACACTTAAAATAACAGTTTAAATTCTAAGCTCCTTAGATCAATGATTAGTCAATGATTTTGTTTAAAACATACTTATAAATAAAGATGTAAAATAAAAAATTTTCTGATATAAAATTAACTTATATGCTTTCTTATGCTTATATTATGAAAAATAATTCCTTTCCATGATTGTTAATATTAATGCAATAACCAGATTGAAAGATTTTATATGATATGAGTTACATGACGCCAATAATAGAAGCAGTTCTAAGATATTGTCAAGGTGAATATATCATTTAACATATTAGGAAGAAATAAATCCATCTCACGAAAAATGTTTGATACAAAAGATTACAATCATTTGGACACTTTTTTTAAAACTTTTTCATTTCATTATGCGAAACAAAATTTAACAGTCTTCCTAAATTGTACGTTACTGCTAAGAAAAATCAATAACATAGTTGCTATGACCTATAAATAAAATTTTTCTTTTTGCAATGTATTTCTGAAAATAAAAATAGGTTACCTTCAGGTATTCTTACAGCTCTTTCTAGATATTTTTAATCTAACTTTTTAAGGTTCATCTATAAATAACATTTATATTCATTTATAAATTTATACTGCTGACTGACAAGTATGATAATTTTTAAGCATATTCAATAAAAAGTATAATTACAAACGTAATTGGTAACTTTACTATGGAAAAACAGCAAATCCAGTTTATAGTAAGAATATGCTTTGTTTGAAGGACAAGAATTTCACAGTGTATTTGACAGCAAATTTATTAATTATGTTATCAGTTTTGCCTAAGCAAGCATAAGTTGTCAGAGTAGTTATAACAAACCTTGACAATCAAACTTATTTTACAGCAATGAAAGTTTTTTAAACTTTGTACCAGGATGACCAGAATATAGTTGTAGAAACAAGCAAAATTAAAATCAGATTGCTTACATGCAAATTATACATATAGGATGAAATTTATCATTACGATACACAGAGGAAATTCAAAGAAATTCCTTATAATCATTAACTGGTATATACATATTTTCTATTTCTCAAATACCAAGGAAAGGAAATTTCTTCCTTTTATTCTGAAAAGGAGAAAATAATCATACACAAAACTTAAATTATGTTAAAGTAAAAATATTTGATGTCAGAAAACAACCAAATAGGATGGGGGAAATCACGTAGCAGTGCGGAAGTGCAGAATCACCCACTGATTGGCGTGTTTTTAAGAATTGCACATAGTCCGTATCCATGTACACATCGACCTATTTTCACTTAAAAAAAAAAATCCCAGAATTGCACAAAAATGGCACTGTGCACTCCCTTTACTTTATCCATGTATACACTAACCTATTTTCACTTAAAAAGTCAAAGAAAATTGACAAAAATCCAATTCTTCTTCTTACTTTTGTAAAAAGTGCCAAACAAATAAGTAGGCGATTCTGCACTTTACCCCATAGCAGTTTGTAGTAAAAGTTAATCTATTAAGCTACATAGTAGCTATGAAGCAGACAACAACTACATACTTTGCTGAAATACCACTGAAAAAAGTCAAAGATTCTTATATCAAATACAAATATTTGTGTAACTTTTAGGCCTTAGCAAAACTATTGATGATTAATTTTTGTTTCATCACAGAACTCAGTAACATTGTTTATTCAAAGCTATGGCTATATTAAAAAACAAATTTCAAAATTTTAAAATAAACTACAGGTATTACATGACCAGTTTCATTTTTGGATGATAATACCTTTCATATTTTAAGCTAATAGCTTTGTATAAATTAATTTAAAGCCTGATCAGAAATGGTATCAAAGTCATAAGAATACTTATGGTATTCAATTTTCTATGTTCTATTTTCATTTATTTTTTATGAAAAATAATTTTTGAAATACTTTATCAATTTCAGATACTTTGCATTAAGGAGAGCAATAATATTATTACTTTAATTTAACATATATTTGCAAATTAAGATAAAATACTAAACTGAATGCATATCTATTAAAAAAAATGCATAAACAGTTTAACAGATTCCTTGATAAACGTGTCTGCGTCATTTAAGTATTTCTTCCAAATTCTCACCATCCTCGATTTTATATTTAAGCAATTATTCGTATAGATGTAGTATAAAGTCTCAATCTTTACTTACGGAGAAGATATACATTATTTTTGCTTTTTTGTAATCAGATTTCAGATAGAGAATAGGTTTATCATACTCACAAAAGTTCTTATTACGATATTGGTCTTTAATTTAAAATAAAACCAGAGAGCTAAATCCTGAAGTTTCGTGTACTGTAGATTTCGTCTGACGAGTATCTATCTACCCACGTGCTTTGCCGATATTTACATTACATGAAATTCATACCTTTAATAGCTCTTTAATTGAATACTGACAGTTCCCCGTTGCTGTATTTTGTTACACTGAAACTTAACTATCAACATGTGGCAGAGATAATTTTCCTTAAGTTACATAAAAATTTATCAGCCATTTGTAATTGTAACTAAGTACGAATGTATGTGTGTATTTAAAAAAAAAACAGCTGCAAACGTGGGGTATTTAAATTTCTAACTGCACACTGCAAAACCCATACATTAAGATAATAAACATGATCACTAAAGTATATTAACATTTACTGAATTTCTTACTTTCAATTTTATCATAATTTAAAGAAATCAATTCCCTTTATTTTCATCATGACATATATTAGACTTTTATCCAAGACATAGAGGGCGTAGTCGTCGATAAACAATGTTAGTCGGCGAGTCTGTGTTTGATACAGCAACTTTTTAAATAAATAAAAAGCAACAGTGAATTGAATTTTTGACCAAATCGATACTTCGAATTCTTATCTTATCATTCACAATTTAAAGAATATGCAATATTGTTTATTTACCTGTAGAGAGTAATCCCTGAGTAAATGACGTGTCGTCTTAGCACATGCGCATGACGACAGTTCTGAAATCTGTGAGTGGGCTTGATATAATGAAAGGATAATTTTATAGTATTTATATACATTAAAAAATGTTATGATTGAACAAGAACAGACATATTCAGAATTGAGATGTACGTTTTATAAACTACATATTTTTGCATTTTTCTGCGTAAAACATGTTTAGAAGATTGCGAGAGAGGATTGCCGAAGAAGCGACTAAATTCCCAGTTGGTCAGGTAATAAAAGCTTGAATGAAATTGGATATATTGAATTCTGTTAGATTTTTGAAGGAAATAAGTCTCTACTTATATTATAAGCACTATTGGGTGTTAGGTTTCTGGGGATTAATTAAAACATACGATTTATAATAAGCATGTGATCTTCTCTATCAGTGTTTGGTGTTGGATAAAATTGTGTATTGCATATTTATTACTTGATCACGTAAAAGTGGTCTCTCCTGTGTTGTAAAAACTCCTCTGAGATTATGTATTGTAGATTTGGGCTCTCATGATGTTACCATATAGATCTTTTTAAGACTTCTGTCAAATCTCTTGTTATGTGTAGTATAATCTGCATTCCATATCATTAAAATAAATAATATGAGCTGCGTTTTGTTCCGTCTTAAAGTTTGTTGTGTTGCTGATTTGTTTGCTTTACTTGTTTGTGTTTGTTTTTCTGTTTCTGTAGTTGGGCAATACTCCTGGGAAACTCTTGCCTGATTCAGAAAATAAATCTGCCACAGCTAATTCATCTGAGGTTTGTATGCTTTATTTATTTACTGTATGTGCACAAAAAATTGCTAACAAAATGTGCTATACTTTGTAAAAGTCGATGTTTTGATGTCGTAGAAGATAAATAAGATGTATAAGGAGCTTTCATCCAAAACTTCTATATATTATATGAAAACTTTCATAACCCTCTACTAAGCTGTTATTGATAAATTTAATGGCTAATTCTTTACGCTAAATTAGGAACTTTCAAAATTCTCTTGAATATTACTACGTTTCTTGTAATTTTGCTTGCTGTTATTAATATATATATAGCATCTAATGCTTATTAAAATCACTTGTATTCCATGACCTTTATTAGGTACTATTCTGTTATTGGGACCAGATTCAGAAATGTATGCACATGTGTGTGTGTGTATACACATACATATATACGTGAATGCATACATACACACATACATATACATGCATACAGGAACACATGTATGCATACATATGTATATTTCTGAATATAGTCCTGAAAACAGAAGAGTATCCTTTAAGCATTTGAGTTTGGTAAACGGCAATTTATGTATTGGAAATTATGGTACAAATTTTAAATTTATCTAGTGTAACTAATGAAATTCAGTGATTAATCGTATAATATTTAAAAATTAATGCTGAAATTTAAAAAAAAATTGAATTATTAAACACAATTTTGAGATATTTTATAAAAATATATTTATAATTACATTTTTAGTAAACTTTTTATCTTTTATAAACAATTATTATTTTATCCATGCTTGTTTCATATTGTTCATCAACAGTGTTTCAATTTTATTCTCAATTTTGTAAAATTGCTGATAGAATTTTTGATTAGCCTCAGACAATATAATGGTTACGGGAGCTGACAGCAATACCGAAGGGCCCGGTTTCGAATCCCGGAGAAGGCATGGTTGTACTTATCTGTGCCTTCATAGGAGGCAAAAGTGGCCCACCTGTTAGGTGCCTCCATAATAAAGTGATCACCACTTCGGTCCTTAGTTGTAGCCAACATCTGTAGGCAGTTTGAGCCCTTCATTAGGGGGGGGAACCTTTTCAGCTCAAGAATTCTTCTTTTCTCACTTTTCTCTAATTTAGAGTTTTTGAAGTATATTTAAAATGCACCAGAAGCATAAACTATTCCTTCTTTTTGTTTATGAAGTTCATTGGCATCCTTTCCTCGTTTTCTTTAAACCTTTTGAAGATGGGATGGCCATTATAGTGGCCATAGAGTCCTCTGTTTGAAATGACGAGGTTGTCCACTTTAGTGGCCATATCTTTTCCCCCATTTTCCAGCCTGAAAGTGTGGGGTGAAATGTCAAATTTGTCCTTTCAAGGCTTTTACTGCTATCAAAGCCACGACCTCAAAAGGTTAAGCAATTCGAACCTCTGAAGTATTGTCTTAGGCCTATTTCTTTGTAAATTTAAGGTGAATTCTGTTTGCTTCTTCAGAAAATGCTACACAGTCAGCTCAGATACACATTCTGATTTTTTTACGACAAACAGCATTGCCTGTTTTCCATAATTAAAGTTGGCTATTGCTAAATATAGAGAAACGTTTACAATTTCCTACTACTTTTTGTTGTTTTTGGACAAATGTTCAGATCAATTAATTTAACTGACATGTTCGAATTTTGTGTTGGACCACCAGTCTTTTTACTAAGTCTGGGTGAGATAAATCTTTAAATATTAGTTTTATAGCATCCATAACTTCTAAAGGAATGGAATTTGTATGCTTAAAACTTTCATTTCTGCCACTTACAACAACTCTGTTGTACGTGCACCAAGAAACAATACCATCTGAGCAAAAGTCTTGAGTTACTTATTAATGTTTGTGCTTTTATGATACCAAATAGACTATATAGCTTTTTGCATATCATGATAATTGTCAGAATTTTTCCTAATGGCATTATTGTAATACGTTGTTAGTTGATCTATCAACACATCTCCAAGTCAACTTTTACTGCTGAGACTTTTCTTGTCATACAGTTTCTTGTCATAGAATTATGAAAAATATAAATTAAAAAAATGAAAAACATGTAGTTTATTTACTATACCATGAACTATCATGTTCAACTGCAGTTTTGTTGCATAATTAAATATGTTGGGATTTGACTGGAAGTCACCAGATGTGAGGAGTTGGACATTTGTGGGCAATTTGGTACGTATGAATAACTTGAAAGAAGAGGGTAAAGATGTCATTCTAGTCTTGCACATATTGTCAGGTTAGATTGTTGTGAGGTATAGCAACCCACAAAAAACAATAAGTTAACCCAGTTATCAGCTACATAATGATTTGTTTCTTCCTTCTTACAGTGCAGTTTTTGTGAATAATGTAGGATTTCTCTCTTTTCAACTTATGATCTATCTGTTTAAATTTCTCGCATTTTAGTGAATTCCACATATTTTTTAGAGCTTTAGAAGTAAAAATATTTTTTATAGTAGCATAGATTGAAATCGTTTTAGAAGAGCAGTTTCAGTGTCTTTCAATTTTCTGTCTTTTGTTTTAGCATCCTTGAGACATTTGCATTTTTTTATTAGTTCTTCATCAGTTATAAATCTTATTAAACTTTTAAATTGCATAAGGCTGTTTGAGAAATTCCCACTTTAAGTACAGTTTTTCTGTAGCTGCACTTACATCAAGAACATCGCACAAGAACAGTAAGATGTTTTAACAATTATTTTTTTCTTTCAGGCCTAAGTCTTAAAGCTTAGGCTTTTTTGATGTTACAAGGATGCAGCAAATTAAGAAATGTTACTTCAAGATTTCACTTTTAGAATTCAGGTTTCTAGCTGACAGAAAGGTTTCTCTCTGTTTAATTGATTTAACAGTGTTTTTTCTGCTTTTTATTTCAGCCTGAAGTTACTACTTTTTTTCCATTCAGAGACTGTTAATCTAGAGCAGGGTTTCTTTAAAATTTTTTCAGTCATGACCCCTTTTAATTACTGAGATTTTTTCGCAACCCCATAATATTTAAAAAAATTTTGTGGGACCTCATAAGTATTGCGCAAATCCGACAGGTGCGTGAGTGAAACTGTCAATTTTTTCTCTTGTAATGTAATATACTATTGCTGTTTTAGGTCATTAACTTTAATTTCTAATTTTAAGACATAGAACAATGTGAAAATTTTAAATAAGCAACAGACAAAATGACAGCGTCACGTGCAAAGCAAGGAAACTGAACATTTATATTATAAAAAGAATGCGTCGAAATGTTTTGTTTTTTTCTTTGTCTGTATTGTCTTATCTTTATCTATTAAATATTAGTTTTCATTTTCATTTTTTTCTTTGTCTGTATTGTCTTATCTTTATCTATTTTCAGATACATTTATTTTTGTGTAAAAATATTTGGTAATTGTAAAATTATTATAAGTTAAAGAAATATCAAAACTGCTAAAATTTTTTAATGACCCCTTGCTGCTGGTCCCACAACCCTCTTGGGAGGGTCGTGACCCACCAGTTTAAGAAACGCTGATGTAGAGTAATGCTAGGAAGTATTTTGTAAACTTTTTTTAAAAACTCTATGTGAATTCAATTTAACAATCAGCTGGTGTTTAACCCTTTGCAGTTGGATTAAATTTGGAGATGGGTATCGTACTGGTCAGAATTAATTTCTGTCGTCAGAGCAGGGATACATAACACGCAAGTTTACGATGGATAACAAGATTTAGTAATTCTTTTGTGAACTTAGATATATCTTTATTCAGTACACTAATCTAGTGTATTGGATATTGTTATATAATGTGTTTTTATATAAAAATTATGTTTTATAATTCTTCTTCATGTGATATTTTTCAAAACATTCTCCAACATGCAGGCCAGGTTTTCGAGTTCATGTATCGCAAAAAGAATTGGTTTGGTGCCTTCCACCCTCCTTAATCTTTCTGTTTGAACATACACTACAATCTTTACTTTATACATTTTCACAATGCCACAATATATGCAGTTTTCCATTAAGTCTTTCTTCCTTATTGGAGGTCGATGGTTTGATCACCTACCAGTTGTGCCACCAATTTTTGGACGAACATAAAATGTGGCATAGGTGTCCTGTTCTCTCTTCTAGCTGAATTTTGGGGAATTATTTTGGAATATTTTAAGAAGAGAGAATGTCTAATTACTGTTAAATACAATTTATAAAATATTCTTTGGAATTCTACAAGGTATTGTCGTACGTTGTCGATTTCATTACATAAAAAAGAGACTGACTCGCCACTGCGTCTTGCATGGTGAGCGCTGGGTCACAACTTTTGTTTAGATTAGATTACATTATCTTCAATCGATGGAGCACCATATTGGTTCGTGAATAGGTTCTTTAGGTATTGAGGTTCGTATAAGAAAACTGTAAACTGATACATGAATGCATACAGTATCCGATTCGTTTAGTTCCTTACTGTGGTGGCTGAGAGCAGACATACGACTGGAACGGTAAAAAGGCTTTTGTGGCTGAGAGCAGACATATGACCAGAATGGTAAAAAGGCTTTGGTGGCTGAGAGCAGACATATGACCAGAATGGTAAAAAGGCTTTGGTAGCTGAGAGTGGACATATGACTGCAAAGGTTTAAAAGGAAACTCACTTATTTACAACATCTCTAGAGGACTGTTTTTGTTAACCTTAAGATAAAAACATTTTTGCATCTCTAAGGTCCAGTGCTGACAAACAGTTCTTAAAGCAATAGCTTACAGGTACAGAGATTAGAAAGAGGTAGAAAAATATTGGTCAAACCTGTTTTATTGAAGCACTACATATATGAATGATATAGCATACACACAATTCAGTCTTTTTCCAGTCCAAGTTTTATAAGCAGTGGAGAGGAGTCAAATAAACGGCAGTTTTTAAGTTGATTATTTATTTTGGTTCCTCGAAATTTGAATGCAAATAGCAGCTAATTTTATTAACCGTCGAATTAAATAAGTGATTGGTATTGTAATAATATAGTTTATATTTTTTAATAATCTGCAGGTATTTTTATTGCTATAGGTATTTTCCCCCTTACATATTCTGTAATTACATTCTTCTGTGTCTTTGTTTTAATAAATATGAATATCTTATAAAATTCTTATTATTTACAAAGTACAATTTAAGATTTATCGTATTTATCTAGTTGAAAATTGTTCTTCATAGTATAACTTTATAGGTTAAGGAGAATTTGATATGTCAGGGTGCAAGATTATGAGCTAAGAAAGGAAAAAAAGTATAAGGTTCAGTTCATAAGAGATTAAAAAAAAGTAATGTATAATCTCGAAAATATGAGTTATTTCATTTTTCTCCTTATTTTTATATGCACTATAGTGTAATTTTTTATATTCTATCCCCACATCATGGATTCTTTTGGGTTAAAATTTAATTTGTAATTTGAAAGCTATGTAATGTACATTAATAATACAAGGTATAATTTTATATGAAGGTATAATTTTATGCAAGATAGTGTCACATATGCCATGAGTTATTAGTTAATATGATAATTATACATCTGTTTTAAATATGTAATTGAAAGTGTCTTTTATCTATCCCAAATAGCCAAATACATTTTATTCACACTTGAATCAAGGATAAGGAAGGAATTTATAAATTATAAAAGTTTTACAGTTATATTTTTGCAGAAAATTTCATGTTAATGTTTTTAAACAGTAAATTTATGGGTTAAATCAAAAGCCTTACATACTTCTTCCTTTTACAAGTCTAACTTTATATTATACATATAGATATGGGTGTAAAAAGAATGGAAACGCTTTTATTTCTGCAGCATTATGTTTGATACATCTTTCATTTCAGAGCAGTCTTTTAATATAAACTTGCTTTTGCAATAATTAAAGCTCTCATCTCTTCAAAAAGTATAAAAATAATAGTTGGTGATTTTGCATAAAATAATATTAAGTGGTCTTCCTGTGTGAAACATTTTTTTTTTTTTTTTTCACTTTAAATAAGTTAAGGAAATTTTGAGCTTGTTTTAATAGAATACTACTTTGGTAAAATTTTAATTTGACTGATATATAATATCAGTTGAGATGCTTAACAGGACATAAAATATTCTGTAGGTCTACTTGTCTGAATTTTAGACAGTGAAAAGAATTATTTTGTATAATATTTATTTTCTTCGAGAGGTGTTTTTTAAATATAAGGAGGAAATAAAAATTGGTGATGCTTATCAGATATAAAGTTTTTTCCCCCTGCCCTCCTCTCAATGTTAAGTAAATGTTGTTAACGTTTTTATACTAAAAATAACAATTTTTTGTCATATAAGATGTGTATTAATTATCATACATCAAAAATCATATGTACAAATAATTGATTTAATTTATTTTATAATTATTTTAGGATCTGATCACTCTTAGTGACAGTTCATCTGTTGTTGTACCTCATACTAGTACTCAGCAATTTAGTATTGGTGAAGATGAAGATGGTTCTTTGAGTGAACAAAGCACTCCACAGAAAAAAGTAATTCCACTTTTTGAATTTATGAAAAATTATGGCAATGTATATTGAAATAATTTTATTTTAATATTATCAGACATTTCATTTATCTTAGATGGCAAAATCTGCACTTTTTGATTAACAGGATGCCAGTTGAAATTATGCACTAAGTGAGTAGCTCTGCAGTGATATAATCTCTACATATAATACAAAGGAAGAATCTGTCTGTGTGTTTGTATGTGTCTCTTTTGTTCATGCTGCACATAAGGTAAAATGATCCAGGGCTACAAAATTTGGCACATAGGTAGAATCTAGACAAAAGCCAATGCACCTTGAAGCGATTTTTTTCAAAATTCAAATGAGATTTTTTAAATTTTATGTTTTTGGAAGAAATCACATCAAATCTATGGCACGCAGCTATTATTGGTGATGTATCACTGTTGCTGGTATCAGCACTGTTGCCACTCACATAAATGAGGGCAATAATTCTGTGTAGTTTTTAAATTTAATGTTTGTCTTGGATACTGGCCGTTTGTTGAGAGGAGGTACATATAAAGCCAAACGAAGGCTGGCCGAGTAGCGGCTAGTTATGAATAAATGGAAAGAAGAAATCAAACCTGTAATTTTTCTCTTTGACATTTCCATATGCTTTTTTAGTGAAATCTCATTCCCCCCCCATATCTGTAGTAAGGGTTATATGATTTGGCAGTTGCTAAACAACAAAGATTTGTGATTGAATTTTTATAGAATAAAGATGTTATCTCTGTACTGGAAGACTATTTGAAAAAGCCCAAAATGAAATTGTATTTTACTACTATTGAAGCACTTGCAACATAAAAAAGTCTTATAACTCAGATACTGATTTGAAGTTTTACACATTCATTTTCTGTTAGCTATTTGATTTACTTACTTCTAACAACAGCAGCTCTGAAAAAATATAGAGAAACATATTCCTGATAAAAACCCACATGTTTGTCTTCACACATTATTTTTTTAAAAATCACAAATTCTAGATTTTTTACCTTACAGCTAACTCAGAAATTTTCAGTCTTTTCTCAAAGTGATACATTCAAAAAAATGTTTGCTATTTCTTTATTCAGTTTCTTAACTAAGAAATCAAATGGTCCTGCACCTGTAAATTATGAACTTGTGGTGGACTTTGGAGAGCATTTGTGAACTCGTTGATAATTTTGAAGAGAAATAATTGTTTGGGTATCCTTATGTGTATTTCATTGATGCAACCAGTGCTGTCTGTCTTCTTTTTACATTCTGCTTATTCCATAGAAGGCCTGTCCATTTCTCAGAGGTTATTATACCAATTGATAGCTATGTTTGGGGATAATCTCAACTCTTCTTCATAGAATTTCACTGATATATAATAAAAGGAAGAATCTGTCTGTGTATTTGTATGTGTCTCTTTTGTTCATGCTGCACATAAGGTAAATGATCCAGGGCTACAAAATTTGGTACATAGGTAGAATCTAGACAAAAGCCAATGCACCTTCAAGTGATTTTTTTCAAAATTCAAATGAGATTTTTTAAATTTTATGTTTTTTGAAGAAATCACATCAAATCGATGGCACACAGCTATTATTGGTGATATATCACTGTTGTTGATATCAGCACTGTTGCCACTCACATAAATGAGGGCAATAATTCTGTGTAGTTTTTAAATTTAATGTTTGTCTTGGATACTGGCCGTTTGTTGAGAGGAGGTACATATAAAAGTCAAACGAAGGCTGGCCGAGTAGCGGCTAGTTATGAAGAAATCAAACCAAATATTAAAGTGAACAGCTGTTGTAAAAGTAAAAGCATTATTTTACTGTATATATTTATAATCCTTTTATTGTTAACTTTACTTATCCATAATACAATTACAAAAAAAGTTTTAGTTTTTATATATGAGTTTATGCAAAATGAAAAACATTTTGTATCTACAGAGCTTGAAAGCCCGTGGGGCTTTGTTTCGAGTATATCAAGTTCGAGCCTAAAGCTCATTCTAAACTGTACTTGTGACTATGCCTCTGTGACATTTACGTCGCCGTCTGAACGCAGCATTAGCTTACGCGCAGCACGAACGAAAAACACAGACAAGTTCTTCCTTTTATATATGTGGATCGATGGACCCATTGCTTGCAAATAGATGCATGTGTAAGGGCTAGCTTTGAAGCAAATTTCACACATTAACATATTTTCTATCGTATTTTGACCTTCATTTAGTTATTTTTGAACATGAAAACTTTTAATTCCTTTTAGCATTAACTTATTATTGGTTGCTTCTTTCAGAAGTCACTATTGTCAAGACAGGATTTCTTCGAGCTCCCTTGATTTTTTTTAACATTATTTTTTTAAAAATCACGAATTCTAGATTTTTTACCTTACAGCTAACTCAGAAATATATTTAATGGACTTTTGAGATTTTTCCAAGGTTGATACAATTTTATTTTAAAATGTCAATTTGCTGAATTTTTGTATTAATTTAATTTTTATCACAAAAATATTTGAGTAGTTTTAATGTGGTTTTATTAGCCCAAAAGGGTAATTTGTACAGAAGGCTATTAATTTCGTTTTGGCATTTTGCGTTGATTCACTATAAATGGAGAATCACTTTTTAAATTGTTGCCACCAAATATTAGAGCCCTGTATTATATTTAAAGAAATTAAATAATGAAGAATCTACATAAATGTATGTTTGTTTCTTGCATTGTGATAAAACAATGGTACCTAGAGCCATCAAATTTTGAATAACGTAATCTCCGCTTGAATATGGGCATTTGGATGCCCAAATTTGGAATTTGTTTTATTATCTATTTCATATTTTGTAAAGCATTTATGGGTTTTTGATTAAGAAACTCAATGATTTCTAAACGAGCAGTGGTAACACTGTATGGAAAAAAAGAACACTTTTATCTCCAGCGTGCTCAGAAAGTGTATCAGAAATTCTAAGGATATGCTCTTTTAAATATTTTGTGATATTGCTGTCAAATTGAATTCTGTGGTTTGAGTGTGAAGAACATGATATTTAATAAATAAAGGTAGCGCACAAAACATTAAAAAAAGGCCCCTTTGGACATAATATAAAATCTGAAAGCTTTCAGATTTTTAAAAATATTTTTTATTTCTTTTTTATATAGAATGACTCAACGGGTGGCTCTGATTCATTTTATAGTCCAGGTTCACCAAAAGATGCTCATTCGGGTGCTGTGTCTGATGTAAATTTTTGTCAAGAATATCGGCCCACTAAATCATGGTACATTCCTCAGTCTGATATTGAAAGTGAAAGAGAAGAAATTCCTACATTAAATTTAGATGGTATATCTAAAGATCGACTTCTGGCGGAAATACAATCTCTGAAAGCAAAAGCGTATAAATACAAAAATAAGTATGCAGAAGTAAGTATTGGTTTTTCTCTTTATTTAGATATTATTATTCAGTAATTTGTTTAAGATTATAGATTTTTTAGGGGGTATTCAGGAATTATAACTGAAATATTAAAACTTACAATGGCATGCTTGTATAATTATTTTATTTTCATGCCTTTATTTTTGTTTCTGAAAGCATATTTCTAAATTGTTTGTTTCTATGTTTTTCTTTAATTCTTAGTTAGGTAGTAAAAAGGAATATTAAAATAGAAAATATAAAATTTCAAAGGAAATAGAAATACTTCAAGCAGTTGCTGGCAGATTGGCTGTTTCTCTGCAGATGAGTGAAAGGAAGTTCACACTTTTCCTGCTTTCAATTCTATTGATATATGTATGGATATATAGAGTAAAATCATAATTATGCTGTGTGCTAGAGATATTTAAGTTGTAGAATTTTTGTAAACTGCGAGATGAAGTTTTTGGTATTTATCATTTATACTGAAAGATTTTAACTTCTGTACAGTTTATGTATCACTTTTATAAGTAAAGTATTTTTAATAGATATGTATATTATTTTGTGATAATAATTATAAAAATCATTTTCAGGTTGTTAAAAACTTTAAAGAGTTACGAGATGAAAAAACAAAGATTGAAGTAAGTTTTAATTTTTTAGTTAGTTAAATATTTTATTCATTAGCTGATCTGTTTTTCTTTTTTGTAGTAATTATCTTTTATTTTTAATTATAAAAATAATTTTTTAATTTAAAATGAGGATCATTTATACAAACTGCCATTCAACATAAAAGTAAGCTCCTCTTGAAATCCAATATACAAAATAAAGAAAACTTCCCACATTCTTGCTGGTATGTAAATGGCTGACGTATGTTCATTTACAAAATAATAAAATCATATCAATCCTTTATTGCATATTATGCCAAATTTGAAATAGAATTTTATTTCTATTAATATTCAAACATGATTCCCCCTTCTATGTATATTCATTATATCAGTGCTGAAGCATATAACAAATTACTTCAAATATAAAGATGTATTTTTGTAATAGCAGTAATAGCAGATATTCAAGTTAAAAAGTATTAAATTTACTTTGTATCAAAAGCTACCCCATTCCAAAGGAATGAAGAATTATTTAAAAAATAATTGGATTATTAAATCTATGTTGGATTTTTCATCAGCTAAGAATCTTTTTCCTCCTTTTCATTTTACTAAGAAAGCAAGATTGTACCTGCATTTCTAAATGCTCTTGATGGTAAATTTCTCTTCATAATAGAAATGCCTACACGTGGCATGTTTTTGCACGTGGTGTGGCCGCCATTTTGTGATTGTAGGAGTTTCGGTGAGTACATTTTTGCAATTTTCAAGTTATGTTTATGTTTTGTACATTTGGATATTGTGCTTTGCTTGTCTGATTTCATGCATTTTGCTTACAAACATTTTGTTTTCTATTCATTTCAGTGAGGGATTTTTCTGCTGTTTTGTGTGTGCTTTATTATTTTTCTGCTGTTTTGTGTGTGCTTAGTTAATTTAGTTTGATTTTCTGCATTGTTTATCATGCCTTCATCCGTTAATCGTTTCACTAAATTACGCCTGAAACGGCAAAAATTCCTGAATCATCTTGACTTTTTACTTAAATGTAAATGTAAAAAATTGATCCCCAATTTTATTCAAATCAAATCTAATCAAAAACCTTCGAGTCGCGTTTCAAGAATTCTGTTAAATTGCAAAACTTGCCTTACTTCGGTCCGTGATAAGGGATACACGTCAACAATTGTCCAAAATTGAACATGAACTCTATAAGCTTCATCTGGAACTCGCTAAAACTTATCCAAAATTCACTGCTTTTGAACAAAAGTCTTGGTCTAGAACGGAGAATGCAGTTAACCGTCATAAAAAAACCCTTGCAGTTAAATTCGAAAAACTTCTTTTACAGTCTTCCAGTCCAAGTAGTTCAAAAAATCTTCCCATTGTAAACATCAAGCCAATAGTTAATATTTCTAATGTTAGTCTTTCAGAAGAACAAGAGAGAATTCTAAAATATAATTTTAACTTCTCACAAACCTGTAAACCCTCGATTCCAAAGATTTTGGCTCCTATCAAAAAAGCTTTCAAGTTCAGTAAAGTTTCAGATTCACAGAAAGAAATGATTAGGCATCTTATCGCTCATAATGTGAAATTCAATAATAAACCTTTGAAACCAAATCTAACTGCGAGAGAAAGAGCTACAATGTGTGAGATTCATTCTAACCCGGATATTGTCATTTCGAAGGCCGACAAAGGTGGCCAGATAGTCGTCATGGATAAGAACACTTACATCGATGGTGTCACTAAACTCTTAAACGAAGGACCATATAATCCGATCCCTAAAGATCCTTCACCTTCGGACTTATCCAAAATAAAAACTGCGATCAAATCTTCGCAAATCATTTCAAGCAACTTAAAACATTCGCTTATCCCATCTGTTGCGAATTGTGCCAGATTATATGCTCTTCCCAAAATTCATAAAAGTGGTATTCCTTTCCGCCCTATTGTATCAAATTTAGGTACTGCCTTGTATCCATTAGCTAAATATTTAGTTTCTAGATTTTCCACTCTATTAGACAATAACATTTACACCATAAAAAATTCAATAGAGTTTGTAAAAAAGGTTAAAAACATTTCTCCTCGTAATTTACTCATGGTTTCTTTTGATGTAAAATCATTATTCACCAATGTCTCAGTGGAGGGTGCTTTAAGATGTCTAGAAACCAGACTTCGCGAATTTCATTTCTCTTGCATCGAAATTGATGAGCTAATTTCTCTCACTCAACTCTGTTTGAAACAAACACATTTTGTTTTCCAAAATAAATATTACAAGCAAACTGAGGGATTAGCCATGGGAAGCCCCCTCAGTCCCATCCTGGCTGATATCTACATGCATTATTATGAATCAAAATTATTTGAAACTTTAAACTTCCCGGCATGGTTCCGCTACGTAGACAATACTTTTACCCTGTTTGAAGGTAATAAAGATGATTTAAATAGAGTTCTTTCAACAATGAATTCTATTGATCCTGCTATTCAGTTCACTTTTGAACTTGAGACTTGCAATTCTCTTCCGTTTCTCGACATTCTGGTCACACGTAACACATCCAACTTCAGTACTACAGTTTACCGTAAACCTTCATCGGTTTGCCTTCCACCACACTTTAAATCATGTCATCCGACTAAACAAAAGTTAGCTTCATTTTATTCCTATGTTTTCCGTGCTCTTCAAGTTTGCTCCTCCAAACTAGCCCTTGATGAAGAACTAAATTATTTAAAAGCAATAGCTATTGACAGGGTCTTTTCACCCAACATTATTAATCAAGCAGTTAAAAAATTCTCATCTCAACACACTAAAAGCCACACTCTTATTTAGGAGATTATAAAAATTCTGTTGTCATTCCCTTCTTTCCATCAATTAGCTATAAAGTTGCACATATTTTGCAGAAATTTAACTTTCGGGTTGTTTACTCTCCCATCAATAAAATTCCAACTTCTATACTCAAGGACCCCATTCCGGATATGAATTCCTGGGGTATTTATAGGATTCCTTGCCAGTGCGGTTAATTTACATTGGCCAAACTAAGAGAGCCTTAAAATTTCGCGTCAAAGAACATGAGGCATATGTTAGAAAAAAGGAAACACAGAAGTCTTCTGTTGCTCAACATTGTTGGTCTGAAAATCACACTTTTAATTTTTCTGCTGCCAAAATTATTCAAAAAACATCTTCCATTGGAGAACTGGATTTTCTAGAGGCATTTCACATTCATAAAAATCTTTCTGTTCTAGTTAACGATCCTAATTCCAATCCAAATTTGCCTTCGGCTTTTAGAGAAATTATGTTTTAGTTCTGGTTTCGCCAACAGATGGCGCCACTTGCTTATTCTTGTCCAGGCTTTCTTATCTTATCTAAGCATTATTTCCTATCTTGTTCATTTGCGGTTTTGCAGCTGAAGATGATGGTTCGGTAAAACCATCGAAACTAGTCCTGTGAAAATTTTGTAAATTAACGCTGATTTTTGTTGTTTGACTTCTGAATTAGTAGAAATGCCTTTTTGAGAAAATGTTTTTTTTTTTTTTTTTTTTTTTTTTTTTTTTTTTTGTGGCATGATTTTTAAAATAAAAAATAAATAACTTTTGGCTTGATAGACTTGCATTAAAAAAAATTCAAAATCTCTTAACCCTGAAAATATCATAATTAAAAGAATTTTATAATTTATTAAAATGAAATTTCTCTTTAATTTTTTATGAAAGTTGAAATATATATTTTGTTAATGATTTCAAATAGTTATAAATTATTATTTCAGATTTTATATAACTTGTAAGGAATACATGAAACAGTTGAGATGAAAAACTGCTTAGTACTATAAACTGATTTTGATAGTTTTAAGTGTTCTAGCCAAATTGAGTTTTATATCACCGATGGTTTCGTATATTCTTCAGATATGTAGCATAATAAAATTCTTTTAATAATCTTTTGTAAACTGAAGAAATGGCTTTTACAGAGGTTATGACATATTTATGCTGTCATTTATTGCTAAAAATAAATTTTATATATTTGAAGTAACTTGTTATATGTTTCAGCATTGATATAATAAATATACATAGAAGAAGGGGAAACCATAGCTGAATATTAATAGAAACAAAATTCTATTTCATATTTGGTATAATACGCAGTAAAGGATTGATAAGATTTCATTCTTTTATAAGTGAACGTACATCAGCCATTTACATACCAGCAAGAATGTGGCAACTTTTTTTTAAAATTTTGTTTATTAGGTTTCAGGACCTATTACAGGAGCTTGCTTTTATGTTGAATGGCAGCTTATATTATTGACCCTCGTTTCATTCTGAAAATTTTATATTTGCCTAAAATGCAAACTTTTGCATTTTAGGATAAGTTGCCTTTCTAGTGATTGCACACTTTTCAAAGCATGAAGATACACTTTTCATTTATTTATTTTTGTTGGCAGTGGTAATATAAAGTTTAACACTTTCTTAACAGATTGCAAGCATTTATTTATTTATGTAATGTGACTTTTTCTTTATTTGAAGAATTTATTGATTGAAAATCAAGACAAAGGATTGCGCAGAATAGCTGAGCTTAGAGAACAGTGCCAACTGGAACAAAAAGCGAAAGCTCATCTTGAAGCAAATCTGAGATTATTACTTGAAGAAAAAGATTCTCGAATATCTGTGCTGGAAACACAGGTAATTTATAAAACAGGCACTTTGGTGTAACTTCAGTATTATATTAATGGTTAGAGGGTTTTTTAATTAATTAATTTTTATTTTATTTATTTATTTTTGGCGAGGAAGGTGGACTTAAGAGGACATCTGATGAAAAATTCAGTTCATGAACAAATTGTTTGCTAAAAAATAACTTTGTCTGACAAACAGTGTCTTGAATAATCAAAAGAAGCTGCAAGATTTTTTTCTCTAATAACTTGATACCAAATAAAACTACAAGAAACTATCTTTTAATAGAGGTATAACTCTTTCACTAAAAAGGAAAACGGACATTGTTTATAAGCATTATAAAATCATAGACACAAAAATCACTTCTTTCCTATCAAATTTCTATTTTGTTTTTCTAAATTGTAAGGCTATTACTAAAGTGAAAACCTTTAATTTTCCCCAATGCATATGGAATTTAAATACTCCTATGTCTTGGGTAATATTAGCTCTTTTCATAAAGCAACATTTACAAAAATCATTTTTAAGACGCCTTTCTTAAGCATCGATCCACAACGCACCACCAGTATCGCTGATAAGCCAAAAAAAAAAAAAAAACACTTTTCTACAAACTTCTTAAAGGTATAAATTTTGCTATCAGATGAAGTATGTGTGTAAAGAGTAGGCATTAATGGACAATGGACCAATGCACTGTGCACTAACATTCTATTTCTCTTAAACTATGCTATGCTATTAGGAAAATGGCGACTTAATTTGATTTTTCAATAACTGTTTAAAATTCCGAATATTTGTTCAAGGCTTAATTGATAGAACTATATGTGGCCCCACGGCTGGCATGTGCTGCACACCTGCTAGAATCGGCCGTTATGATTGTACATTTTGGCATGATTGATGAAAGCAGTTTTAGAAAGCAAAACTGTAATAAAAGAGTAAAGGAAGTTTTGCTATCTGAAGGCCTTGAAAGGGGTCTGACTGGATTTTTTTCCAAGTTTGCCAAGGAGTGACTTGACTGAAGAAAACTCTTATTTAAGCTATTAAGAGAAACATAAAGAAGTTTTTCGGGGCTCCATTAAAGATTTGTGCTTGGAACTGATCACAGTTGCTTTTATTTATATATATATATATATTGTTTTTATATTCCATGTCTCGGAGAAATACGTCGTGGATGGGATGAAGTTTTGCAGAGATGTATGATTAGGAATGTGTGTGAATGAAAGTAGCTGTGATTGCAGTATCTGGTGTGATTGTTAAAACTGATGAAAGCGAGTTTTGAAAACATTAATGTTCTGGCAAGTTCATGCTAATATAATCAAGTTTGGAGAGAAAAAATATAACCCTGGTAAAAGAGTGAATGGAACATGGGTATATCGAGGTATTGAAAGGGGTCTGATCTTTTTCCCCCAAGATCATTAAGGAACACTTGTTATTAAAGATACATAAACTAGTGTTCAAAAGTTGTCTAAAGTTGTCTTGGAAGGTATGTAATTGTTTTCAAGATGAAGATTTTATGCACTTATCAGTCAGACATTTAAGGACCTTGTTACAAGGGCTCACATAAACTAGAGTAAATTTTTGTGGAGCTTCATTTAAAAGACCCCTGCATAGAAATGATCACGTGTGATTAATTTCTTTTGAGTTTGATATCCTTCTTAAATATATCATTAATGACACGAAGTTTCAGAGAGAGGTATGTGTAGGAATGTCTCTGTATGGAAGTAGTTATGATTACAGGTTATAGTGTGATTCTTGAAAATGATGAAAGCAAATTCAGAAAGAAAGGTATGGCCATAGTAAAAGAGTGAATGGAGGCTGGCTATCAAGAGGTCTTGAAGGGTGTTTCCCCTCACAAGGTTGTTCAGGAAAGAATGAAGAAAATGCTTCATGAAGTGTTTAAGAGAAACAGGGCTCTAGCATTGCCTAAGACTGCTGGAAGGTATGTAATTTTCTCAAGGTAAATTTTAATACATTTTTCAATTAGTCATAGTATGACATTTTAGAATCTTGTTTTTAAGGGCTCCTACAAACTTAATTAAAAGTTTGTGGAGCTTTATTAAAACATCTGTGCATAAAACTGACAGCCCATGATTTTTTTTTTTTTTTTAATTTCTTGTTTAACAGAAATATGTAGCAGATGAGATGAGGTTTCATGGGCAGGTATTTGTAGGAATATGTCCGTACAAGAGTAGTATGACTGGAGGTTCTCATGTTATTGCTGAAGTTAATGAAAGCAAGTTCGCAAAGCAAAATTTTAACTGTAGTGAAGGGACTTGGCTGTGTGAAGCTGCTGAAAGGACTGTTTCCCCTCCTCAGGTTCTGACTTCCACCCCAAGATTGTTGAGAAAGGAATAATGAAAGTCTTCTTGAAGTTATTAAGAGACACATAGAGAAGTGCTCTGTTATTATGCAAGATGGCTAAAAGTCATGTAATTGGTTTTCAGATTAAGGTTTTATGCACCTCTCAGTGAGTCATAGTATGACATTTAAGGATCTGTTTCCTAGGGCTCTTACAAACTTGGTTGAAAGTTTGTGGAGCTCCACTAGAAGATCTCTGCATGTTACTTACTGACAACTCCTGTTTTCATTTATTTTGTGGTTAATGTCTCAGAGAAATGTGCCATGGGTTTAATGAGTTTTTGCAAAGCTATGTGTAGAAATGTCTGTATACGAAAGTAGTTGTGGTTTCAGGTTCTTTTATGATTGTTGAATTTCATGAAAGCAAGTAACTGTAGTAAAAGAGTGAATGAAGCCTCACTATTTGGAGGCCTTGAAAGGAGTCTGACTTTTTTATTTTTTAAACCAAGGTTGTTCAGGAAAGATTGAGAAAAACTCTTATTAGGTTATTAAGAGAAACATAAAGCAGGATATCATAAATGTCAAAGTGCTTGAAGGCATGTAATTGTCTTCAAAATGTTAGTTTTATACATTTTTCAGTCAGGTATTATGAACTCTCTTTTGAGGGTTCTTATAAACTTGATTAAAGTTTTGTGGAGATCAGGAGAAACCTAAAGCAAGGTTCAATAATTTTGTCAGATGGCTGAATGGCGTGTAATTCTCTTCAAGAAGAAGTTTCATAAAACTTCTGGTAGTTATAGTTTGATATTCAAGAACCCTGATTTAGGTATCCTACAAACTTGGTTTAAGGTTTCTGAATCTCCATCAAAAGATCTTTGCATGGAACTGACCACCAATGATTTCATTTCATTTGAGATCAGTGTCTTGGAGAAATTTGTGGTGGATAGGATGAGGTTTTAAACAAAGATATGTGTCTGTATATGAGAGTGGTATGTTATTTTCACTGCACAAGTGGCCGAGTGTTTAAGACTCCTAAATAGTGGTAGTTCTAATTGGTTTGATTTCAATTCCAGACAAACAAGCTGGCTGCATGGTTGATTTTTGTGCTGTTCCCCATGTGTGATGTGAATAGAAGCAGTTTTTCCTCAAAAAGTCATCTACCAAAGCATCCTTCCTCCTAAGCATATGGCCATCCAGGCTTTGCCTTGCTTAAATAACCTAACCTATAGTTAAAACCGATGAAAGCAAATATATTGTTGTAAAAGAATAAATATAACTTTGCTATATTCAGGCTTTGAAATGGGTCTGTCGGTCCCCCACCCCTAAAGTTGTTAAGGAAAGAATTAAAAGTCTTTTCATAATTATTAAGCAAAATATAAAGCAGGGTCCAATAATTATATCATATAGCTGGAAAGTATGTATTTGTCTTTAATATGAAGGGTTTTATGCACATTTCAGTCAGTCATAGTATGACATTTAAAGACTGTGTTTCTAGAGCTCACAAGAATTCAGTTAGAGGTTTGTAGTGCTCAATAAAAGATCTCTGCATGGAACTTACTGCCAGTGATTCATTTCTTTTGGTATCAGTGTCTCAAAGGAATTTATCCATGACAAAATGGCCATCGTACTCAAAGACCTTCTCTTGTTTTATGTGGGCTATAAGTAACTATGGTTAGGACTTTTGATCATTTGTCCACGGTTTTTAAAAACCTGTGAATAGGGTTGATGTTTTAGTGAAGTTTACTAACAAACAAGCATTTTGAATATAGTGAATGTCAACATTGACCTTGAGCTACCTAACTAACCAGCCAGTTTTTTACAGTTGTTCATTTAATTTTTACCCTCTGTATATAAGTATTTCAAAAAATTATGTTTGTACTGCAATGTTAACTACTTGAAAATGTTTTGATTTTATACTCAAACTTGTTTTTGTTAAATTTGTATGTTAAATTTTAGAGAGTATCCATAGAACATATTTCTGTTTCATTCTTATAATAATATTGCAAGAGAGAAGGCAGTTGCATAGATAATTCCTCGTAATTTATTCAGTTCTATTTGTTGATAGGCCCTTAAGTTGTTCATTGGTTGTCCTTAAAAGTACTCATTTTCTATTTGAAGAACTATGTACAAACCCTGTTCAGCTCTTTTCTTCCTGAAAAATAACCACAACTGTTATTCTTTTAACACTGCTATTATGTATTATTATCTTACTATTTGTTTAATGTAACTTCAACTGTAATATTCATGTAATGACTACTTTTAAACATTATGGACAAAATCTGCATGTTATTATTTATGTCATATGTTTATGTTGTGTGCATTTTAAGATGTTATATTTTCTTTCGTTGTTTTGGTTTAAGATATACAGTCAAAAGTCGTTAATTCGGACACCCATAATTCGGAATGATCTATAATCCGGACATCAAAACTAAAAACTTTCTGCGCATGCGCCGCGTTGACACATGCGCAGAGGCGTTCACGCGTGCGCGTAAGACCTTCTACGACTGCGCATATGAGTGTGCGCAAGTGTAGAATACGTTTTCGCGTGCGCATTTTATGTATAATTGACGTATAAGCTAAATAATTATCTATTTCAGTTAATGTTGATGATTGCGTTGTTCCTTAATTTTCGAATTGCATCCGGCTTATTATTTTTTGCAGACTGTAAGAGCAATTTTATAAAAGTAAGCTTAAACTTTCGATTATATCAAATAGAATTTCTGATATATATTTGTTAATATGTAAAGGATCTAAAGCGAAAGTATGTTTTGAAATCCGAAATCTGTTTATCAATTTCACGCTGCTCGGCGGGCGCGTAATGAATTGGAAGTTGATTTGTCAGCACTATCCTTATCTTCAGCGCAGATGTTTTTATTTTATTTGGCTTATAATTCCTTACCAAATGTAGTATTTCATCTCGATATACTCCGTCTTTGATATGATTTAAAACAAGTTCCTCGTCATAATTCGCTTCCGATAGCGAAGAAAAGTGACAGAGGTTATTGAAAACAAAAAAAATTTCGATTGACAAATTAGTCGGTGTTCTTGACGCAGCAATTATAGGACTTGAACGGCGGAACTTTGTAACTGACAAGAAATTATGTCTGTTTAATAGAATTAAAGAGAAAGTATTATCACATGAAACGAAGCAAAACTTAAACAACTTACATTGAAAGAAATGTTTAATAAAGTAAACAAATAAATATTAAGCTTTTTCTTTTTGCAAATTTTGGTACCCTTTAGATCATAATTGTTCTTTATTTCATAAATTACGGTTTCATATTTTTAATTTTAGAATTTCTGCATGCCATCTTACGAGATTTAAACTGATGATCTATAATCCGGAAAAATCGATAATCCGGAATCGCCGAAGTCCCGACGAGTCCGGATTAACGACTTTTGACTGTATTAAAAAATATGTTCCAGTTTTGTTTAATGATTCGTTTTCTGTACCATAGTTGCTCTTGTGTATATTGATTAATCATTGGAGCAGAATTTGACAACTTAAAGGAAGAAAGTGTGGATCTCATTATTTATTTGTTGTAGGACTCATATTGTTAAGTCGTTATTAATGAGTGTAGAGGATATATTAGTTATTAATTACCTAAATGCCTTGAAAATAAATGTTGACAAATATATTTTTACTAAGAACAATTTAGAAATTGAATCTTAGAATTTGAATAATTCTACTCTTTTCCCAAACCTCTTGAAGGGACTTTTTGAACAATGGATTTTTTTTTAGAGACCTTACTCAGCAGCAACACCATAGTCACAAATGTCTGTGCCTTACCATGTATATATATATCTGAAACTGAACTTAATATCAGTGTTTTAGCCATTTCTCAATATTGTAGTGTTAGGGTAGCAGTTGCTAGTTGTATTTGATGTTAAGCTTCTGATCAAGTATAATTAGTGTGTGAAATATATATTTGAATATACAGAGTCCTTATAAGTGCTTATAAGTCCTTATATTTGAAAATAAAATATAAAGCCCCTTATAGGTGCTTACTTTTTCTTTGAAGCCCTTATTTTTTTGTTTTGAGTGCTTATTTTTTGCTTTTAGTGCTTTTTTTTTAAATGAACGCGCAATTTTTCCCCTTACCAAAGCCGAAACTAAATAAACAACTTTTCTTCCTAATATGAAATGTCAGATCATACTCCCGGAAATAGCTTTTCCCCCTTTCTCTGCATTAGCATAACCTTTGGTGTGCACAGAGAGTACAGACAGGTGCCCGTCATTTTGTTGGCCAAAGAATTGTCATTCGTCATTCTTTTCCTCCCACCCAAATACTACACACGTTTGAATTTCTATCAAGATTTTAATAATTTGCTTTTTAGTTCCGCTTGGTCAGTTCATATTCGTGTTTATTATGATAGTATGCTTATATTATGAGTATATGTATGAATGTTTATAATAACATAGTTGCAGTAACTGCTGAAGTATAGTAAACTTCCAAAAATGGTTGTGTTTTAACACAGATTAGCTTTGTAAGGAATAATATTCGGAATGGCTTAAATAAAGGGAAAGTAATCGAATAGTCAAAATAATTTAATTTATTTTTTTTTTTTTTTCCAATACATTATACAGTACGAAGGTTGGGAGGTTCTCCCCTTTCTCCGCAAAAGCTCGAATAATAAAACTGTTACAGTTCGCTGCAAAACAAGCAACGGACCTTTTTTTTTTTTTTTTGTCACTTTCCAATCTGGATTGAAGGGGACTAAAAGTTCTGCGGTCTACCAACTCAAGCGAAGAATGATTCTATTCCGGATATTTAACGCAGTCTGTCGAAAATTAGAATGAAAAACACCCCAGATTGGTAAGTCTCTTTCTTTTCCTTTATTTAGTTCTTTATTCTCCCAATACCGGCAGCTGTTGAATCCGATTGCATAATATCATGTAGGAAGAATTACGGCGTACGTATTGCGCAATAACGTTTGCGATACTTTGCAAAGATAATTCATTTTTATGTTTGGTCCGAGATTTGTTTATGAACACTTAAAAGAGTTTTACTGTGCTTGCTAAGCAGAATATTTTTCTGTTCCATTGGTTTGTTTTTATATGATGCATATATCGAAATGTCAAAAGCATTTATTTAGCAGAAAAATCTAAAGAACCGCTACAGTCTATCACCCCCCTCCGCTCCTCTTTTTTTAAGTTACGCTCGACTGTCCGAATATTCGCCAATTTTCAAGTATGCGGGTAGTTAAGCTTTTACTGTTAAAGGATGACTGCATGAAGCAAATTTCTGTCTTCTGATTTCAGAAATGTTCCTCTTTTTTAATTAAATTACTTTGCTTGCAATATCTGTTAAGAGAAAACTGATATATGATGAAAATTTAGAAAATGTTCTGAATTTAGATTTAAATTAGTTAAATATCAATATGAGTGGAAAAATAAATTGTATTTATTATTAAGTTCCAAGCAAATAGAATCAATATGCCTTATTATTATTTATTTCCTCTATTTTGAACTGAAATTTCATCATTAAATCTTGTAATATAGTTTAGTTCTGCATAGTTTTTTTTTTCTCTCATTGTAAACTAGTTCTGTAAATTTAACTGTTGTGTAAAATTAAAAAAAAAAAAAGTAATTATTTTCCATGGTTGAGGTAATGCTTATTCTCTCTTAATAAATACTGCATTTCTCATATTTTAAATTACGAGTCTAATTTTTAAGGTTATGCAGTTGTGTATAATGTAATTAGACAGGTGCTTATTTTTTTTTCGTAAAATGTGCTTGAAAAGTGCTTATAGGTGCTTATTTTTTTAACTAAAATGTGGCTATGAACCCTGATATATATTATAAAAGTATTTCTGTTAAATAGGTTCAGTGTGATGAAGTTGGCAAAATGGCAGAATTTGATGGTTTCTCATACTATTCAAATTACTTACTGTGATGTTTTAAATTTTGCTTGCACTGTTTAACAGTACAGAGTATAGAAGTTTAGTTCAAACATAAGTGAACGGACTGGCTGCATCATTGGTTTTTCAGGTTTTCCAAATGTTTTAACATAAATGCAAGCCTTTTTCTTTTAGGAAGCCTCCATGAAAGCATCCTTTCTCTTAGGCAGATAGCCCTCATGTGCTTTGCCATATTCCAGTAACAATAACCTTTCTCTATTTTTATAATGTTCATTTTATTGAGTTAGTAGGTGTGACACTTAAATTTATTTTAAAAATATGTAACTTGAAGTAGTGCTTAAATTTTCACTAATGGACAAATAATTGTAAGTAATTTATTATGTTTTGTAATTTAGTAGCAGCAAAATTCTTTTTTTTTTTATCGATTATTTTAATACTGTGGGAGATAATATATTTCTGAAATTTAACTAAGTGAACTTTTATTTTTGAATATATAGATATAATATATATATATATAAAAAAAAAAAAAAAAAAAAAAAAAAAAAATTGATTTTGAGAAAATTCAGCATGATAGTTGCAATGTCAGTTTCTTCATTTATATATGTATATGTGTGTGTGTGTGAGAGAGAGAGAGAATGTGCGTGTTGTGTGTAGTAAAAATTTAAATGACAATTGAAGTAATGCTGAATGATGTAATAATGGAAGTGACATGAAAGATAAAGCTGAATACCAGATCTTTTTCATTCCATTAAATTCACAATTGGGGATTTGCATATGGTTATTAAAGCATAATTGATGCACTGAAGTAATGTTAGTACTGATAAGAGTACACTCGTTGTTTGATAATTTCAAGCAAATATTTCGCATTTTTTAGTATTGGTGGAAAAGAAAAAAAGCTGTAGACAAGGCAAGATGAAGTGACAGGTGAAATGGGTATAAATTGCCCCTTCCCCCCAAAAAAACAGTTGCTAGATTCATGATGATTTTATAGTTCTCTCTCTCTCTCTCTCTCTCTTTTTTTTTTTTTTTTTTTTTTTTCTGTTGGTTATTTAAGGTTTGAGTTTGCAAAATTTAATATTATTATTGGCTAATAGACTGTTTGCCATTAAGTAAGGCTGTGCATCATAAGCCATGATGTAAGACCACATGATAGAGATTAATTTCGAAATGAATGTCCTGCATTTAAATAATATAATGGCACTGCATAGATAACTTCAGCCTATTTTGTTATAACTAATTCATAACCTTCATTTAAATAATGTAATGCCACTGCATAGATAACTTCAGCCTACTTTGTTATAACTAATTCACAATCTGTTAAGTTTTAGGAACTAAAAATAATATTTAATTACATTAGAAAGTTTTGAACATTTGATAATAACTTTTTACCTTAGTTGCATACAGTGTGTCTGAGTTTGTCTTTTTTTATATTTTATTTATTTAAAAGTTGATAGAAAACTATATAAATATCAAAACTTTTTTTAAAAAGGAAAATGCCAGTTTAATGTCGAATTTTAACTAATTTTTAATTCAAGTTGACATATTTCTCTTTTTTTATATTTTTTAATGTGTATTTATAAATTTAAGTTTTTGTGTATATGTATGTAATCTTTCAGATAAATTTGCTTAAAGAAGGTGAAAACTGCAGTGGGTCAAAATCTCTACCTGATGTTGACAATTCAAATTTACATGAAGATGTCAGCAATAATGTGCAAAGAGAAGAAAATTCAACTCCAGTACCTCAAGATAGTCCTGCTCTTCAAGAAAAAGTAATTTTTGGATATTGCAGATATTTAACTTATTCATAAAATTAGCAAAGCAACAACCTTGTGTTTGGCACAGATTTAGTCAAGAACTCAATTTATTTCAAGGGTAAACTGATACAAGTCCCTCTTCATCAGCAGGAAAGAAATCTGCAAGACTGGAAAACAGTGGGCGCAGTGATCATATTTTATGGCAGTAAAGTGAACGAGAAGGTAGCATCATCTGTCGTCAAAAATAGTAATGAAATTGAAAAATTCCCACTGCTTTCCAGTCTTGCAGATTTCTTTTCTCCTGATGAAGAGGGACCTGTACTTGTGTTTGCCCTCGATATTGATTCAGTTCTTGACTAAATCTGGTCAAGGTTTTTGCTCTGCTAATTTTATGTTTTACTCTGCTGTGTTTCTCTTCTGTTTTGATTTAACCTTTTATTACTACCAGTGCATCTAATAGATGTTCTTTGCATACTTTTATTTAGTTTGTTAAAATGAGTAGTGAGAAAGGTGTCAGAGTGTAGAAATACTTACAGTTCCTGTCAGTAGTCTCTTTTGAATGCTGACTATTTATCAGTAGTGACTCATTGTACTGGCTGTGTTTTAAAATACATGTGAGGAATCTTTACATGTCGTTATCTTGCATTTCATTACTTGCTTCTGGCAGCTGTTATTTTCCTTCAGCGGGCTTTTATAACTAAATGACAGCATTTCCATTACTTAAATGATACTGTTGATGTAAGTCCACACTATAATTTGATGTCAAATGCTGATTTAACATGTTGTGAGAAAGATTAGGTTGAAGTCAGAAACTGGAGTAACATATACAGCGAAACCTTTTTTTAACGAACACTTTATTTTATGAATTCCTGTATTTAGCTAAGTTTTCCATGGAACTGTTCCACAGCTGTTAATTTTCTTGTATAAGAATCCTCAGATAACACTCTGTATTTAACAAAGTTTTTTTAATGGTTGATTTTTCTTTCTACTTTAAAATTATTTATTCATTTGCTGTGACATGTATGTGCATGCAACTGTAGTCGAAGAAAAAGCAGTTGGCTTGTTATCTGTTGTTACATTCCATTTTACATGAGAGGTGAAGTAGAGGGGAGGAATACTTTTGAATGAGAAAACACCTATCCTCAAAAATTCCTTAACCCATCCTGTTGTTAAAAATTCCTTAACCTAACCTAACATTAAAAATTCCTTAACCAATTCTGTTGTGCAAACTAGTTTAAGGTTGAGCAACAGCTGCACATTATTTTTATTTCTGCTTTTTGGTGTTTTATACTGCTAACCCTTTTAACCTTCCAGTATGCGCGCATGCGCAAAATTTACGACAAATTCAGTTTTTAATGCACATTTTTTGTATATTGAAGCTGAGACACCTGAAGGTCATTTCTATTCTTCCTTTCTACCCTTCCCCACATCATGGAATGTGCCAACAGTAAGTCATTTGACTTTTTAGTCCAAAGGGATTTGAATCCCGAAGGACTATTAGTTTCATTTTGGCATTTTGCATCGGACTCATAAATGTCGGTTCACTTTTCAAACTGTTGCCACAAAATGTTAGAGTCCTGCATTATATTTGAAGAAATTAAATAATGAAAAATCTGCATAAATGTATGTATATTTCTCGTATTGTGATAAAACAACGGTACATAGATTCATCGAATTTTGAATAACGTAATCCTCCAACGAATATGAGCATGTGGAAGACCAAATTTGAAATTTGTTCTATGATCGATTTCCTATTTTTTAAAACGTTGACGAATTTTTGATTAAAAAGCTCAAGGATTTCAAAGCGAGCAATGGCAACGTTGTGCAGAAAAAACATTTTTATCTCCAGCGCGTGAGTCTCTGTATCGGAAATTCTAAAGATATGCTCGTTTTAAAACTATTTTGCGATATTGCTGTTGCACTGGATCTTATGGTTTTAAGTGCGAGGAACATGATATTTAATAAAGAAAGGTAACACACAAAATGTTAAAAAACGCCCCTTTGGACGTAATTTAAAATCTGAAACATTTCAGTTTTTTTTTTTTTTTTTTTGTATTTGTACTTAATTTAAATTTTTGTTTTGTATTTGTAATTTCCCCTTTTTAATCTACCTTTTTCGTGCATGTGTCTGTGTGTATTTAATTATGGCAAAGCACACTAGGGCTATCTGCCTAAGGGTAGGGATGCCTTCGTGGAGGACTTTCTAAGGGAAACTGACTCGTATACACGTTACACATGGGGAAAACCATTTTTTTTGTTTTACTTTTCTTTATCTTTCAAATTAGTCTCTTTGTTATTAATTAACAAACTAAGCAACTAAAAACAATAATGTAAGTTTAAAACGTTTTTTCATAATAGGCTTTTATTCAAAACTCATAAAATAATTAATGAAATTAAAAAAATAATTTATCATATTGTTTCGTGAGAAAAAACGATTAAATAATTCTCTTTACAAATTCATTTGTAATTTTTATATCATGAATATTAAAAACGCGGGGCGTTCATTGATAAATTTATAATGATAATGGTTTTTATATTTGTCAGTGCAAGTTCAATTTTATTAACAGATTTTGGTATTTAAACTTACATGTTTTTATTATTCGGGATTATTCTAGTTGAGTTCTGTAAAGAGAACTATTTTAATCTCTTATTCCCATGAAACTAAATAGTAAATTATTTTTCTTCTTTTAGCTTTTTAATTATTTTTTTAGTTTTAATGAAAACTTACTTTTTATATAAAAAATTTCAACTTTATTTTATTTTCATCTTTTAATTGTCACTAACTTGTTGTCGATTAAATTATTCGGTTAAAAAATCGTTTTCAACAGTCACCCCTTTAATAATTCTGTTGTTTCAAATGGTCGAACGATTTTCGAAAATCCACCAAACATTTGAATCTTTCGCTTCGGAAATATGTTAACGATTTCATACAAATTTCGTTTAAAAGACTTTTTCTCGTGTGCAGAAAATCGTTTAAACATTCAATTTTTTAAAAATCTAAATCGAAATTTGGAAAAATCAGTGTATCTTATTGTATTGCCATCCACAAGCACTGCGTGAACAAAATTGGAACTTGAGTTTATCAGAATATGGCGTTTTGCCCTTTTTTAAATGCGCAGAAACATGAAAATTACAACAATCTAAGAATTCTGATTCTGTGTAGACTGTCAAGTCACTTACTTTCATGTCTTAGTCTTCAAATGAAAGAAAAACAAACTCAGATGAAGGTTTAGATTAAACTTCTTTATTATAATTTAACTAATACACAGGTCGTGCACGGCAGATTTTTTTTTTTTTTTTTTTTTTTTTTTTTAAACTGGGCTTTTGTGCTACGTGGCAGCTTTTTCATAAAATTTACAACACGCGCGTGGTCGTGTCTTAAAATTTGGAAAATAATTTTTTCTCAAATATTTTGTAATTTTGTGTTATTAATTGCTGTGTGTTATTTTAATTTGAATACATTTGGCTCTGTAAATTTTATATCGGTTTTTGTGACAAAAAAAGTGTGTGCAACCAGCTGATTTTGCTCGGATTCTTCAAGAATTATCTAATGAAGAAAAGGAAGACAAGGAAACCTTTGGATGGGAGAACAATAGCAATTTCCATTCCTTATTTTCTTATATTTCTATTTCTTAGAAATAAATAAAAACATCAAAGTTAGTTTAAAGTGTGTTTTTGTAACCAGTAAGAAGTAAATTTCTTTGCAGAAGTAAGTAATGCTAAACTTACTTTTTTTCTTACTAAGGTGTTTTCCTTTTTTTGTTGTCTATACTTGTCTTTGATGAATATTAAAATTAGCTTTGATTTAAAAATATAATTATTAAATAATAAATTTAAAATTTTCTATAATAGACATCATTGCATTTCCATCTCACTAACATAAGAACTTAAAAATAATTTAATTACATTTGAATGTTATATCATTTGTATTTTGCAATAATAAGATTAATATTTTATTTCTTAATAAATTTATTATCAATATTCACTCATTTCTGTCGTTTTTTGTGCCAAAAATGGTAAAACAACGGATGTCGTAAAAAATACGACGCGCACAAGCTCATGTAAAATTGCCAAGCGCGCGTCCTGGAAGTTAGTTGTGTATTAAATGGTAAAAATGTCGAAATGGAAGTGTATAACACTTCAAGAAAAAATGCTGATTCTCAAAATAGTGGACAAAAATGCAAAGAAGAAAGACTTTAGCATTAAATTTGGTATTTTGCAAAGTAGTTTATTGACAATCCTGAAGAACCAGGACAAGCTTTGATTTCACTGATTCAAGTCCATGTATAAGAAAATATGCAGTTGGTGAAGATGCTCATGAAACGATGTTAAAATGGCTGCTTACAGTGAGAAGGACAAAATTTACCTGTATCCAGCCTATTGTTACTATAGAAACCTACAGTTTACCAAAGCTTTAGGACAAAGTGAATTTCGTGCGAGTAATAAGTGGCTGGCGAAATTCAAAAAAAGACATGAAAAAATCATATATGGTGAAAGCAGAAATTTTAATGTAGATGACTGTATGATATGGACAGATTAAAATGTACAAGCCAAAAGATATCTTCAATGCCGACGAAACTGTCTTATTTTATCAATGCTTACTGCAGAGAACATTAACATTCAGAAAAAGGTAATGTTTTGAAAGAAAGCATAGAAAAGTTTCTATTCTACTATATGCAAATATGGAAAGAAATGAAAAATTGAGATCTTTACTTAGGAAACTTACTTGAAAATAGGAAAGAGTGAAATTTCAAGTTGTTTTACAGGTATTAAATCACTGGAAGTAGATTATAATTTTAATAAGATGACTTGAACAACTGTGGATGACCTTGGACATTTTTTAAAAGTGTCTAAAAAATTTAAAATAAAATACATGGCTATATAGAAATGAAAAAGTGCACTAGTGATAGACAATTTCAATGCTCACCCTCAAGATATCAACGACCTGTATAAAAATTTTAAGATTTTTTCTTTCCGTCAAATACCACTCTAAAACTGCAGCTTATGTATCAAGG